ACAGGCCACTTAAGCTGCAACTGTAGTCAGTGCAAATTCACTGAATCCTCCAGAAAGTGACAGCTTTGGCGCTAGCCAGACAGATCAAATACACCCCATCCGAGTGGCAGAAATCTGTTGCTAACTGCCTTTGAAAGAGAAAAGCAGCAGCTTATGCCTGCTGTAGTCAGTGGAAGTTCTGTCACTGCTAGAGCCCCATCAGTCAGCTTGCGACCCTCCTGACTGTGGTTCACCATTTGTCCTCAATCAGCACGACACACATTTTACAGAGGCTGGAGGCACAGCAGTGATGTTACTCTGTCCTAGCCACACAGAAAGTGAGTCAGATCTGGATAGGAAGTCCCAACTCCCTGCTCATTTCTACCAACCAAACACCTTTCCTCAAATAAACTTTCTGAGACTTGCTAGAGCCTGGCAGTGTTAGCTGCATTTTTCTAAAATGTGAATCAGGAATAAAATCTGACTTTTTATTCAGAATAATTCAAGGTTTAACTGTACAGACTGTACTTGGGCAAGCCTTCCATTAAATGACTGAAGTCTGAGCACAGGAGCTGCAGGATGTTATTTCTGTACAATTTGCAATGATCAGCCAAATTTCTAAATTTTAAAACCTTGAAAATTATGGTTTTGAGCTGTGGCTGTGGCAGCCCTAAACTCCTAACTTCTCTTTGCATTTGTAGATCTGCAATTAGCAAGGTATGAATTAGTTCTAACTTTCAGTCCAGAACAAATCCTTTCAAATGTCTTGCAAATTTACAAAATCAGGAATACAGATACTAATTTATCTTACAGTTGTGAACTGCTGACTTGGTAAATGCACAAACTTATTCCAATGAATGCAGCTTCCTGTGGAAACAACTGCCTTCCAGTCTCTCATTAGCTAATTACTTCAACAACAGCCAAGTTACACCAATTTACCCTATGCAGCTGTCTCCTGTGACTCTAGTTTGGGAAAGCACTAAAGCTTGAAGCTCATAGCTAATTCATGTTCATCACTGTCCTGAGCAGGGAAATTCTCGAAGCAGTTTGGCCCACTTGTGTGGCAGAGCAGAATGGACTGGAGGAAAAGTGCATGCTGTGCCTGAAGATACAGGAGACAGAATGGGACCCAGCAACAGCTCCAAGTTTCACTTCTTTTTAAGCCTATATCCTCCACTACATTTTAGGAAACTCATAATCAACCAGTGCAACAATAGCTTACAATCCGGATCTTCAGATTAATTTTTGGGCTGTCATCAGTATTTACAACACGGTGCAAAGACGTGAAACAGAGAAAGAGAAGTTCTGAAGATGCTGTCTCAAGGGAAACTTGTTGAATACCTTTTTGACCTGCAGTTCTCCCAGGAGAACTTACAAGGTGCCTGGCTGTTACTATAGTTCATGATACTTTAAACCTTATGCGTGGCATTCTAGTCTGTACAGATCCATTCACTCTGATGAAGCTGTGCTGATTCACATCCACTGAAGTCCTCAGCCCATGGCTGAGTTTTGATGTATACATTTTAGGATTAAATTAAGTCTAGGTTGGCTTTATCCTTGGTTGCTGGCCTATGATGCTTTATAAATACTCGGCTTGGTCAGTATAGAAAAGCTTCAACTGGCCCACTTCTGTACTGATACAGTACAAACCACATCCATAGAGAGAATCTCAAGGAGAAAAAAGTGCAAACAGAAAAGAAAACCCCCATTCTTGGCATCTAAAACAGATTCCCAACCCCTTCCCCCACTCCCTCCATGCTTCCCTTGGGCTGTCTGAGAAATAACAGATGCAAATGGGTTACTTTTGAAAGCACAGCATTCCCTGCACAGCTGATGCGGTGTGAAAATCCGTCTGAAGCCCAGCAGACATACCCAGGAGCAAGTCGCCTCTGAGCCCTGCCAAGAATGATACATTTCACCATATTCTACTATAAAGAGAAAACCAGACAACCACCTACTGGCTGTGTCACAGAGCAGAGAAACCCTCCTTTCTCCAGACTGCAGAATACCAATTAAACACATCTCAAGCCATCTATTCCAAGTAGGAGCTTAATGCAGTGCAAAGTTAGCTGACTTCTTCCCCTAGGAGCTTTGTGGGCTTTTTTCTTTCCCTCCCCCTCCCCCCCCATTAGGTTCAGTGATTTCTCTCCTTTACTTTGTTTCTGTGGTTGGTGAGTCAGAGCTGAAGTAAAATCAGCTTGCTGTCTGATGAGCTTTCGATGAAATTCAAGGCTGAAGCACAGCATTTCTTGATTTATTTAGCATTTAGACATTCCCTGATCTTCATTTCTAGACCTCAGCCTCTGGCAGTTTTAGACCATGGTTGCTTTCTCTAGGACAGCTGTAAGCTAAGACCTTGTGCTAGGTTCAGATATGCCTCTGGTAAAAGGACAGTCTGTCTCCAAATGACACTTTTGGGCTGCATATCTGTATTCCTTTAGTAATCTGCATGTCATGTTAATGTACTCAACTTGCCCAGATACATGCTTGCTTTTTGTCTGCTTGTTTTCCCTGTGGTTATTGCTATCAGCACTTCCACTTCAGGTTATAAAACTTGAGCAGCTTTCAGTTTGCTTTATGTATGATCACTAAAAGCAGATAATGGCTCATTTCAGCCAGTGCAATACTTGCCACCAGACAATAAAGACATGAGCAGACACAAGCAAATGAAATTAGCTTTCATGTGTTCCTCTCACAGACCCTATAAAATTCAACAGCAACAGCTAGAAAAGAATTAGTCCTAAAACCTCTTGTCTAGATGGAAAACCTATGGCATAAGGGAGACATAAAGGAAAAACTCATCAAGTCTCTCTTTGCCCAACCCACAGCACAGGGGCCACGTATCACTGGGAATTAGAAAATGCTTTAGCTTCAGTGACATTATGTCCACTCAGCAGATCTTCCCTGTGATCCCCAAAAGAGTGAAATGCCTCCTGCTGTGCCATTTGTCACTACCCAGTTCTACTTGAACTGCTAAAGAAACATAGCTGTCTAGGTATGGTGTTCACTAAGAAATACAATTTCCTGAGGCCCCCTAGTCTTGTATGGTTGTCACAGTCCACACTGGGTAAAAGGGCAAAGGACACAGTGCTGGTTGTGTCCAAAATCAATATGAAATGCACAGGTGCTTTTAAAAAAAATAATAATTATAAATCAACATAATTGTTTACTCCCATGAAACTGATTTGTCCATATTCTTAGCATTAAGGTTGATAAGCTTTATTCTTTTTCCTCATTCAGCTTTTTTTTTTCTAAATAAAATAGGATTTCTTTCAGGTTTTATACATGGTTTTCTAACTCTTTAAACGTTACAAAATGGATCACTTCATCCTGTAAGCTAGAACCCTAATACAAAGACAAACAAATTGCTTGGACATAATTTTGGCTTTTAATGCCATCTGTGTTAACACTTCTGCATTGCCCAACAATGGGAGAAGCCTGTTCCAGCTCTGGCTATAGCTCTGCTTGGTAGGACATCAAGCAGAGACCCTTCAGAGGAAGGTATAAACACCATACATACCTCAGGAAGACTTATTGTACTCCCTATCTGATCTCTCTTCAGTCTCCAAAAGCTTCCTCTTAGCTTAAAAAACAACCTGTTTACTGTCCTTTCCCAAGTTTGCTAAGTTATGTCTGTAGGGGATTTTGGTATCCTATACACATATAAAGATGTAAAGTCTTTAGATGAAAGCAATCCTCATGGCAACAAACTATGATGCGTAACACCGCAAGGTACGGAATATTCTCTTTTTTTCAGCTTTTAATTGCATCAACACGTCTCTGAATTCTTGTTCTTTCAGACAGTGAGAACAGAAAATCCTGACTTGAGTCAGAACTGCAATCAGAATTACACATTCACTTTTTCTTATTCTATATATCTCCTTCAGCTTATACAACTTAAGCTCTGTACCTGCTTATTTAAATCCGGCAGCAAGAAAATCAGTTCAGTCTAATATCTATCTCCTCCCATAATCTCTAACTTGGTTGATTTACCAGGTTGGAGGCTGCAACCTTCACTAACATCATCACCCAACACAATGCATACGACACATAAAATGATACAGTAAAAGGTCATGGTGCTGTGCAATCCTACTAACATCTACCAAGGCTGAATTTAAGCTTGCTTGAACTAAAACAAATCTCTTTCATTTGCTGGTATTGATGAAGACTAAGCAAAGCAGCAACTGCTGAGACTCCTGCTGATACATATCTATGGCATGTAGTGCAAGCTCTTGCCTGAAATTTGTCAAGTGATCTCAGTGAGGTGTTCCCAGATTTCAGGTGACTAAATAGTTTTCTGAAGACTGAAGTCCTGGCCCCTGCCATTTAACACCACTTCAACAACCAATGTCTTTGGACAACAGAAGCAGCATTTGCAAGGCAACTCAAAATAGCTCTCATACCTATCCCAAAGATACAGTACACTTAAGACTAAATCACAGCACACTTAAGACTAAATCACATATGGATGAAAATGAAGAGTGGAGGAATCCTTACCTGCCCCCCTTTAGGCTGGTATTTGATGTTATCTGTTGAACCAATTTTGGACCTGACATTCTTGAGGTCAGGTAGAGGCTGATTAATAACTCGTAGCTGCTTCGGAGTAGCCGGAGATTTAGGAGGAGTGCGAATTATAGCAACTTTTTTCTCAGTAGGTACCAGTATGGCAGATTTGGGGGTCCCAGGAGTGTGGGGTGTTCTGGAGTAGCTGGGTGTCCCTGGACTGAAACATATCTATGGCATGTAGTGCAAGCTCTTGCCTGAAATTTGTCAAGTGATCTCAGTGAGGTGTTCCCAGATTTCAGGTGACTAAATAGTTTTCTGAAGACTGAAGTCCTGGCCCCTGCCATTTAACACCACTTCAACAACCAATGTCTTTGGACAACAGAAGCAGCATTTGCAAGGCAACTCAAAATAGCTCTCATACCTATCCCAAAGATACAGTACACTTAAGACTAAATCACAGCACACTTAAGACTAAATCACATATGGATGAAAATGAAGAGTGGAGGAATCCTTACCTGCCCCCCTTTAGGCTGGTATTTGATGTTATCTGTTGAACCAATTTTGGACCTGACATTCTTGAGGTCAGGTAGAGGCTGATTAATAACTCGTAGCTGCTTCGGAGTAGCCGGAGATTTAGGAGGAGTGCGAATTATAGCAACTTTTTTCTCAGTAGGTACCAGTATGGCAGATTTGGGGGTCCCAGGAGTGTGGGGTGTTCTGGAGTAGCTGGGTGTCCCTGGAGTGCCTGGAGTACGGGAGGCATAGCTTGGTGGTGTCCCTGGAGTGATGGCAGTGGAGCCAGGAGTAGTTGGAGTAGAAGTTCCACTTTTTCCTGTTCTGCTACGAATTGGCTCTGATCCTACACGCAAGAAAAAACGCACAGTATTCAACTCACAGAAAAACAGCCCTTCTTCCCTCTGTACTTCCCAAGAATGTGTGCCAAGGGAGAAAAAGCTCCAAGATGACTGTGCTAGTGGTGGAAGAGGTGGGTGTCTGTTGTATGTTGCTAATCAAGCCACCAGGGGTTACCTTGTCACGTGTGGCTGAGCTGGGAAGTTGCCCACACAGTGACTGAGCTCTCCATTCTGCAACACACTTGTGCTTCTCACAACACCTCTGGTTCCTGCAAAGCTCCTTAAACCAGGCACAATGCCTCAACGATTCCATCTTGGGGAAAGGACTAGAAGCACCCTTGGAATCTAACCTTTGGTACTTGATCTGACAACCTGACTAGCCAGTAAGAATGCTGTCACAGATTTCAACAGATTTGGGCATTAAACTAGAGAGTAAGGAAAATTCTGATTGCAATCTCAAATTAAAGGCTCTGAGTGCCTGGCTGCTGCTGGTCACATACCACTGATGGTAATCTGGTGACTGCAGCTGAACCCTGGGTGAGCATTCAGCTGATGAACAAATTATAGCTCTGTTGTGTGGATGGGCAGATGCCTCTCCTGTCCAATCACTATTTTTCATTAGTGCAGTGAAAGCAAGCAATTACAGAAGCCAACCTTGATTAAAAGTCACATTCTAGTTACATCTGCCTGCTAGTCAAAAATTAATACATACTGTAACGTTTTGTAGCGGCTCCATTCAGTGACTATGGCATTGCCAGTCCTTTTCACTGAGCACAAGAATCAGTTTAGTAGTGCTTTGTGCTTTCTGCATCCAGCTCTGCTGGCAACTCTCAAACACAAAGGAACAAAAACCAAGGTATCTCCATATGCTGCTTAAAGGAAAGCTTTGCTGAGAATACTCAGGGAAAGACCAAACCCAGCCCTGAAGCCTGGTAACCCCAATGCTGAACATAAGACAGTCTTGCACATATGTTTTCACCTTTATAACATTCAGAAAGTATAAATCCAGTGGGTCTCTCTAGAGCATCCAGTGATTTTTTTTCCAGCTCCCTGCAGCTTTGGTATATTTATTTTTCATTCTTCAACCCTTCATAACACTGGCAAATGCTGATGGCCTCTCACTGCTGCTGTGCCAGCTGAGAGTCACTCTGCTTACAAAGGGTCTCTGTGCTACCCTTGGAGCTTCACCCAGAAATTTCAAATTACTTCTTTTGTGGTAGAATTTAATAATCTATTTACCTTCAACTGTCATAAAAGGGGCTGAGATTGGTTTCAAAGTGAGAAACCAGAGGAATTCCTACTAGAAAGCAGGTAGCTAATTCCAGATTCTGAGGCCTGGGCTTATTCATCTAAAAGTTCTCAGGGCATTTGCTACAATTACGTTTGTCCTGTTATTTTTTCTGGCTTGTGATTCGGTAACATTGGTCCTCATGAAAAGGCCTTGCTAGTTTACTCTTCTAACTCCCCCCAGTGAGTCCCTCCACTGGCTAACATCTCAATTCTCAGCAGAGTTTCTGCCCTACGATTAGAGCACAGGGAGATCATTACTGTGAAACAGCAAGTCAGTGACTACAATATTAGGTTCACTTTTTCAAGATCCATCAGAGTATTTTATATTGCCTACTTCAGGTTTGTCTCATTTTTCTTCCTGCTGTTTTTAAGCACCCCGGGTTAACTGTCTCACCCAGGTTTGAGCTCCCTGCAGAGGCATCTTCTAATATTAGTGATTAGACTGAAGAGCAGTCCTAGCTCTGGGCATTGCAGACCATGGAAAGGGTGCATCCTATCCTGGTTTCAAGGTCTTGCTTCTCACAAATTTATATCTGAATAAAAACAGTCTGTGCAGACTTACCCCTCTGTGTAAAGGGCAGGGACCATGATGCTATGGCAATGGGACAAAACTAACAAGGATGAGAGACATTCACAGCAGTAGGAGAAAGTTAATCTGCAAAAGACATACGGGTGGTCCGTCGTACTGAAGAGGAAAGGGAAGCGGTGAGGGAGAGAGAGTTTTCCTCTCTGTCTCGGTCTCCTGACACACCTCTTCGAGGAGGAAGGATAGAGGCAGGTCTTGGTAGAGAGGAGCGTTTTTCAGGACTCTTGCTTACTCCATCCTAATAGTAGCAAAAAAGAAAAAAAGGAAGGCTTAGTTTTCAAAACTCACTCTCTGGGCTGTGATTTTACTCAAACTGTATATAGAGGGAGAAATCTCCTCCTGTGGGCCCACCTTACTTCTCACACAGGAAGCTGTGGAGATCCAGCCACTCCCATGCTCTGCCTAGCTCCCTGGTGCTTCTTTACCTCATCAAAACACCCAATAATCATCTTCTGAGCTGCTTAAGACAGATACAGATACTCTTGGCTCTAACTGTGGATGGATCCCACATTTGGTTAAAAGTAAAGGTGAAAGACAAAGAAACTTCCTGGAGCTCAGGTTTGCAATTATTTTATACATTTACCTTCAAGGCAACTGCAGTATTGCTGCCCAGAATACATCCCACACTACCTCGTCAGGTGAGGTGGGATTTTTGTGTTTTCAAATACTAACTTGTAGTTTTTAATGGGAGAAAAATGTTTAGCTACAGCTTATTTTTTGAGTGCAGGACTATTAATCCTGCTGTCTTCTCCCATTTCCTCCCATCCTCATCTTTTTACTTTTTGAATTCAGTAAATATGTTCGTTTCACCAGGGGTAGAGCAATGGATACGTATGTTAGAATATTTTTTAATTTATGGGATGGGCAGCCAAAGACAGTCTTGCATAAGTAGATTGTCCTCCCAAAGACAAGTATGATGATGGTCCCAATCAATAAGAGACACACAAAGCACAGTATTAGACAGAAAATGGAAGTGAACAATGAAAACCATTTCAAAATGGGAATACCAATCAATTCAGCATCAAGTAGATTTGAAACACAAGTGAAATGTAAACATGGGGAATCTAGGATGGACTGCCAAACATCTCTACATTTATACTGCAACTTCTTCAACGGGGTCCCATGCACAGACCAAACTCTTAGAGCATGTGGCTTCTGACTTTATTTCTGGCTATAAGAACTGTACCCTCTTACACTGGGGATTTAATTTATTTTCACAGAATGTTAACTGGTTGAAAACTACATTTTTTAAACTCAGAAAGCTGTTCTTTGCCACTTACCAACATGCAAATGGATGCAAATTTTTAGCAGTCAATAAAGCAGCATCCATATCAATAGAAGGAAGATACGTCCATCTAGTTATAACTTATTTCACTTATGCTTGCTCTGGAGAATTTCCTTTGGTTTTGTCCATTTTGCAGCACAAATCTTGTAGCCTGATAATCAGTTTTCCTGCCACTGTATGTAAGTAATCCCACATAAGCTTCACAGACAATTACTCACATTCAGTGGAGACAGAATGCGATCCATGGAATTCACCTACACATCTCCAAGCTAGCTCTTGCTACCAACTCTGCTACCTTACCTGAGCATCTGATTTTGAGTAGGGCAAGCAGTTTCTTGGGCCTGCTGAGGAGGGCCGTACATAATAACTGTCTGTATCGAGAAAAGTGGCCCTTTTAGTAGTTAATGAGCAAGCTGAGCTGGGTCTTGGAGGAAGCAATGACTTTGCTCTAGACTTTGAGGCAGGAATCTTTGACAAAGAGGCAGTCTAGTCATGAGAAAACAAACAAAAGAAAACACAACATGAAGCCAGACAAAAGGAAAACATATGCAACATGGACCCCAAAAAATGCCAAGCTATGAATCAATACTTTTCCTGTGTCTGGTAACGGTGTCAGTGCAGATCCCACATACATTAAAGTTTAATTTGAAAAGTGTGTTTCCATAATGAAAGTGTGTTGTCTGACTGCAACAATATGGGTCCGATCACAGTTACTGATTTTAGGAAGTGTCTTTTTCCACAGATGATATTCTTGTCGTGTTAATAGAACAACACTGGTGCCAGGTATGGCATTTAACCAGTACACCTGCTGGCTGGCTGTATTAGAAGCAAGTGCAGAACTACAGGAGCACCAAGAGATCCCAGTCCTTTATAACTAAGTTGTGCATTTGAAATGGATCCCTCCAGGCTACAGTCAAGAACACAACAGTGGGAATTGTAAAATAAAAGTTACACCAGTATTCCCACAAGGGCAGAATGGCATGACAGTATTGCTTCTTGTGCCACCATGTAGCCCAAACACTCTTCTGTACATCTGGTGTCACTATGTAAGAGTGTGGAGTCCTAGGATGAGGAAAGCACATATGGTTGAAAGGCTGACATCATATGTCATGGTGATCAGATACTCATCTGATTCTGAATAATGATATTAACCCATTGAAATAATAATCAAACAGCAACAGGAAGGCCTGAAAATTCTTTGTTGACACTTAGGAGCACTTAGATGCTTTGCAAAAAGGAATTACCTTGAAAGAGAAGAGAGCTACTTGCTGAAGTAACACATTCTTTTCTCCCATGGGTATAAATGATACTACAGAGAACACTTGCAAGGCTGTTATCATTGCAATGTAGTCCTGGTTCTCCCTGTATTCATACAAACGTGAAGTTGTATGTGGGACCAATCCCAATGGGCCTGCAATTACGGGATTTGGTACAGAACTTCAGCCATTAAAAAGCTGGTGTTTGATTTCAGTCACCTAGACTTGCCTGATGTTTCAAACAGGTGTCTGAGTTACTCCTTAAGTTGTCTTTCTCAGAAAGTAAGAAAAGAACTGGTTGTCAGCTCTCTGCTGACAGGCTTAGGGTACATACCCAGTCTACAGAAAACTGCAGCTGGTGTGCTGAATGTCACCCATGACATCATCTACATGATTGATGGTGAGTTGCAGAACTGTGCAACAAACAATTCTTACAGCACAGCTGAGAGGACTTTTATTGGATATCATCATCCATATCCAGCAGCTCTACTGAGCAAGACAAGACAGTAGTTGAAAGTATGAAAATGCTTTACAAGCAAGAATATACTCCTAGAATGAATTTTGCAACATATTTACGTTTTTTTCTTTAATACTTACTTCATTGTCTGCCAATACACAGAATAAAATCAGTGAATAATTATTTTAATCAGAAACTGAAAAGATGTGTTTCCGTCACATCAAAGGCTTCTCCAGACATTGTTCTATCTATGGGTCCCATCCACTTGTGAAACTCTGGCCCATATTTACAAATCCACTAAGGTGTTTATTGATGCTGAAACTGTGGAAGTAGTTTATCTAGGTTGTGTGGCTCCAAGAAGCAGACACTCTAAACATCTTTCACCTGTTTTTCTAAACTTGAGATGTAACTAAGCATGCACAGTTCAAGGCCCAAATGTTCACTGAATGGTTTTCACCTTTTTCAATTTGCAGGTTATGCAAAATGAGACTGGAAAATGCTTACAAATTAAAGACTCAAGGCACAGTGTAGAATCTTTGCCCTTTTCACACCATTGCATAGTGTCTTCCATGAATATGTGCATTTAATGGGGATGCTAAAGATGGATGACACTGATACCTTCCAGTGGAGCAGCTGGGGAAAAGGCATGACCTTGAGCTAAGACACTGCTCTGAGATTATCACAGTCTAGATCCCCTTGGTGTCCTTTAGGCAGCAAGACACCTTTTTGCATCAATAATAGCCGAAGAATCTGCCCAGGCAGATTTCAGTTACATGCACAAAGCTGGTGGAGCAAGCAAAGAAGACAACTGTCTCAATCCCTGCCTGTGTTTTAATCAGGAAGTTATTCTTACTCTCCATTAGCAATACACTGTCTTTGACCTCTATTATAATACACGTTGCCTAAAGTACCAGCTGTCCACTGGACAAAGACCGGTGTGATGCTTACTAAAGCTCAGGCATTGCTGAAGCTGGGATGCAGAAACCTCACTGTATTTCAGAGGTGCTCCTAATGCATGGCTGATATTCTCATCATCTCAGTACAGCAGGTACACAGCTCCTTCCAGCAGATGGAACTGCTTAGCCTTTCCTGAACTTGTTCTGCAAAGCAGTATGTAAACTGCAGTTTGAAGCAAGACTGACCAGATTGGATGATCTAACATTACCAGTGGTGAGGAAAAGGCTGCATTGAATGACAAAGAAGCACAGCAACAAAAAGGAAGAGGTCTTTATAAAAGCAGAGGTGAAGCCAAAGCACAGAAATGTCCAAGAGATGTGTGAGTGTGGCAAGCAGAGAAGGGAGGCAACAGGGAGAGAAAGTAAGCACAGACACACTTCTGATCTTTGCCTTAACATAAGGGACAGGAATAGGTCTACAGAAAGCAGAGAATGAATTTGCAGTGCAGGTACTTAGCACACTCAATGAACACAGATGACTCGGAAAATGGGCCAATATTGACGTATTTTGCATAAGTGTTGAATACTCCCGAAGGACAGACAGTATTAAACCATACTGTTGACTCATACCAGAAACTTGTCCAGATACTTCTCACTGTACCAGTAAAGAAGATCAGGCAGTTTCCCAGTTATGAGCTGAAATGAGTCAAACCTGACAAACCACGTGAAATTCCAGAACCCACGGCTGAATTCAGGTCTTAACTTCACAGCTCCTCCAAAGCTTCCCATCAGCTATGCTGCTATGATCATTAGCAATTCCTTATGATTCATAAATAACATGCAGCACTTTATGAGACAGAGTTTTTTGTTTCCTAGATAATGTATTGTCTGGTTAGACAGATGAAACAAATCAGCCATGGAATATATTAGGAAATATAAGGATATTCTTCATTGTTAATGATGGCTAACATCGACAAAGTACTGTTGTGCTGCAGATGTGTGTTAGCACGTGTCAGTGTCATGTAACAAAAAGTTGCACAGGGGGTAGTGAAAGCAGGTTGGTTTCCTGGGGATTTTGGAGTGGTGGGACAGGAAGAGCATACAGTCAACAAGGAAGCAGAGCAGAGTATTTGTCAAAGGAAACTCAGCTGAGAAGAGCCAGGCACAGGAAGCAGAGCAGGCTGCAGAGCAGCTGAAGGCGGGGCACGTAACTGTCAGGTTAGAACACAGAAATCAGTGGCCCAGGAAATGGCCGTTCAGAAAGCAATCAATCGCAGATAAAATGCTGCTGGGCAATAACTTGCAGACAGGAATGACCTCTGCAGAATGCATGGCTAAGTAATGGTGCATCCAAAGGCATCCCTTGAGTCCTGGCAGAGGGTTTCTGCCTGCACAGCAATCAAGCAAGCTGGCAGTATGAGCTGGGTGCTACAGAAAGGTCCAAGGTACAGTTTATTGCAGAGAATGATCTGGCTAAAAATCCTGAATGACATTCGACTGCTGCAGTTTGCAGTCTGAATGTGCCCCTATGCATCTGCAAATTCTCATCAGCTACTACCTGGGACTGTAATTCAGAGTTTATTCAGGAAAGGTGGTTTTAATTACCCTTTTAAATGAGTAATTAATAGGGCAAACAAATTCTAAATGTAACACAAATTTTAAATGGAACACAGAATTACTAATTTAACACACAAAGATCTGAAATAAGGACAAAAGGAGATTATAAAAATGAACAATCATTTTACTCACTGAGAGTTTTTCCTTTGCTTGTTTAAATACACCAGGAGCCTGGTTTGTTTCACCACCTGCTGCTGAGAGACCCAAAAAGAGACTTGATAGTTAAAAACAATAATAATAAGCATTTACACTTAGTATAAATGTTAGAACAATTAAATGCCCTGGAACTATTGAGCAAAGCAATTACCTTGTGAATTACTCTAAATGAACTGTATGCAGAAATGTACCTGCCTCAAAAAAATGCTGCACTCATCAATCTTGACGTAAAATGGTATTCCACACTTTTCAAACAAACCGAAATTTTGTATTCCTGTTCCCAGAAGCCCAGAAACTACAGTAACAAGTTCAATAAATAGCTGACAACTGTAAGAATCTCTAGTTCTGAAGGTCAATCCTCAGATATCTCAGCATCCTGACTTGCAGGGCTGTCCACTAAAAATCAGGCCCCTTTAAGTAATCCCCCAATGGAAATTTTGAGATGTCCCTGAAATCATCGCTTTTCAAAATATTACCCAACATTCCTAGTGGGAAAAGAGAGATTCACTGTTGAATGATCATCCTAATTGTGTCAACAAAGTCAGTGTGTCGTGGGTCAATTAAACCCTCAGACTTTGGCAATTCAAAATTATACCTGAGACATCAAGTATGTTAATTCAGTATTACATTCTTCTGATAAAACATGATTTGAAGCAAGATTTTTCTCTCTGACTTGGATTCCACCCTTCCAAAGAGTTTTGGAATGGGGCACCTTTTTGGAAAGCAGGTTATTAGTTTCACTCCAACACTAGGGAGTTATTTGCTACACAAAAACTAGATGTGAAATCTTTTGGCATCTGTGCTAGGATGCCCTTGGGAAATGCAGAAGCAGGACAGCGGGCACAGATTAAATCCTCTAGCTGCAAATCCAATTGTCTTCCCTTTGTAAACCAACCCTGACACATGGTACACAACAGAATTGATTAATTTTCTCCTTTCCCTGCGCAGTTCCCAGGCACAGTGAGGAGATCCCTGTTTTTTGGGTGGATTTGTTTGTTTGTTTTTTAAATTGAAGGAGCAAGAGAGAAAACTTGTGAGGAGGAAAATACTTAATTGTGTACTTCAGTTCTTCTGAATTTGTAGCAAGGGTAAGTACAGCACAGCCTTCCTGCATCACATTTTGTCACATCTGTAACTGCTGGTTTTCGTCTGTTTTGCATCTCTTCTAAATAACCACAAACAACTTTTCTTCCTTACTTACCTCCCTTGGTATTGAACCCTAGCCAGCCACCACTATGAAGTGAAAAGAACAGCTGTGCTGCTTGTGCTGACTTACCTGAACACACCACAACTTCTCTATCTGAACAAAAGATATCTGCAGGCTCTGCTGCCAGTTTAAATCCACAACAAATACGTTTTACTTAAGAGGGTGACCCCAGAATTGAACACAAGGATCAGAGGGCATACCACATAGTGACACCCACTCATAGCCAGGTGCTTGTCCTGGCCTTACCACCATAAACACTTCTTTGATGGCACAACTGCAGTGCTGTCTCACAGCCAGTGACAAACACCAGTCAGCTTGGGGTATCATTCATGAAACTATTCCAGTCAAGGCAAAGGCTTCACAACTCTTTCCTCAAGGTTGGCCATGCAGTTTATTTGTCAAATGGCAAAGATGAGTCTCTTGAAAAGCAGTCCCTCCTTTGTGGATATGGAACTGCCAATGCTTACCAGTAAAATGGGAACTTTTCTTCCAGTATTGAGGGGAGATGGGGAAAAGATGTAATTTCCCAGGCCTCTACAATAAAAAAAATGACTTTTTTGATAGATACTTGTGTCTTATAACTAGGCATGTTTAAGTCACAGTAAATGCAACATGGAGCTTTTAACTGACTGCAATACACTCAAAGTTGAATAGACTACACTGCTGAGGGACTTCAGGTGGGGCTCCACTAAGGTATCACTAAGGCTGACAAAACCATTCCAAATAGGACACACTGACAGTCAAAACTGGCTTCAAGAAACAGTGCTGTATTTTACATGAAAGGAAAATGGGAGAGAAATATCCCTCTAAATTCCAGATCCTGGGAAGAGCTGAATGACAGGTTTCAGCTCCAGGATATGTACGTTAACATATGGCCACCTACACTCCTAGGATATCACATAGCACTCCTCTCTTCCTCATGGCCTCTGCTCAAGTCCCATCAGTGAGTATAAAAAGACGAGGGAGAGGAAAATAAGGCATACTGTGAGTTTTCCATCAACACTGAGTATGAAGAAACATTGTAAAAGATATTTTTGTACACTTTCTGATGTGGTTCCCACTACCCTGCTTTAAAGACTAAACCTCAAAGTTCAACCTGCATTACTGAAAATGTTATGATCAATCTGGGTCCATTATTTTGGTTGTTCTCCATCTCAGGATTTAAATGTACTGGGAGGTTGTTTCTGTATTACACTTCTTCACTTTGACTAAAACATCTGCTTCACTTCGTATTGGAGTGAGAGAAGAAAAGCTCAGCCAGTTGCCGGGCAGCAGCATTTAAGGCTGTGGGGCAGGTTTCCTTATGTGAGTCTATGGCCAGAAGAGTCCAGAGGAGTTAGCAGCAGTACCTGAGGCAAAGACAGCAATGGCCACTTGACTGTAGAAGTGCAGGCCAAGTTGAGGACACTACAAAGCCAATACTTTTTTGCCCTGTTTCCACCATTTATTGAACCCCCTCAGTCTTTTGAAAGAAGATGTGAATTATGGGTTGTAACTGCTGAGCTGACCGAGTTCTGCTTCAGCAAAAAGCAAGAAATAGCAAGCTGAGTTGTCTTCCTCCCTTTTTGAAAAGCCCTCACTATTGAATAGTACTGGTTCAGAGTGCCAATTAGGACAGCCCAGAGGCTGTGAACTGAGGAGGAGCCATCACGCAACACAGAGGTGCTGGGATCAGCCTTTTCCTGGCTCCATTTCTTGTGAGAGGGGAAGTAAAAGTAACAGATTTACAGAAGAAAGGTGATGGGACCAACCATTTAGTTCCATTGTCCTCATGGAATACTAACTGGGAGACAACACACACTTCATACAGTTGAGGCATGATATTAAAGCAACCCTGGCATAACTATCCTTTTACTGTATTTTCACTTCCATACTGAGACTGGCCTAATTTTAGAACAGAAGTGACTCAATGGTGCAAAACCAGATGAGGGAGACTTCTCAGGAACACTATGAGCACTGCAGTGTATAACTACAGGATGGGTAATAAACCCTGTTCTGAATTTCTAAGCCATGAGAAGAGGCTATGTACTTCTGCAGAGCTGTGCCTGGCTCTTCTCTCAACAGCCCTAGCTTCACTCCTGAATGTCCGCAGCACGAGCACGTGGTTATGGTACATGACAGAAATCCTGGCCTCTTGTTGCAATTCTTCCCAAGATCACCAGAAAAGTCAAGATGTTCTTCTTTCCACCCTGAACTCACAGTAATAACACGTAGTATGACGAAAATGCTGAAACGTATTCTTTTTGGTCCTCTAAATAATGATACACCTATCAAGATGTAACAGGAATCATTTGTTTCATCCTTCAGTCCTCCTCTAGCAAATATTAAGTTTTGCTTGGAAAGAATTCGTAGGGCGAGGCCAGATTTCTTCTCTCTCAGCTTCATGCTGTATGTGGCTGGTTTCCCCCTGTGGATTTTGACTGTATAGCATAAACATCAGTGACAGATTGGGAAGTGTCAATGCAGGTAACATCAACCAACACAATGCAAGTCTGAAACACTTCTTATTATGCACGAGAGTAAAAAAGCAAAATAATGGAAATGCACACCATGGTTTAGCTGTCAACATTTTGCCACCAGGAAAAAAAAAACAAAGGCATAATTTTAAAAAAGAAAAAAAGGAACAAAATGATGAGCAGAGATTCCTATAACACCACACTACTATAAGCACGATGCCAAGTTACAACCACAGCACTCAGAGGCCCAAGCAATGACAAGCATAAATGATCATGGCCTCCATTAAAAAAATAAACAAATACCAGGAAAGAAAGAAAGAAGAAAAGAAAAATGATACAAAGCACTAAAAAAGCAATACTATTTGTGAAGATTAATATTCCTGGAAGAAAAATAAATAAATAAGAGAAGTTGCTACAGCCATGAGATTTACAAAAAAAAAAAAGAAAAAAAAGAAAAAAAAGTAAAATGTCTATGTTTGCCAGCCACATTGCATAACTGAACAGAATGCAGTCACCTGTCTGCTTCCGTTTAACACAGGAGAGATGAGTTGGTCTAGTATATTTGATAGCAGGTTTTAAAATGATTTTCCTGGAAGGAGAGTGGGCCTGAACTTCAGTTTTTTTAGCAAGTTCAGCTTTCTTATACACTGCTATGGACAAGAAAACACAGAAACACACAATCAGGAAAAAAAACAGCAAATAGTTTCATATGACAACACACCGAGTGGCAGGCCCACTGCTCCACAACTCCAACCCGACGTGTCGCTTCTACTGGGGTGAACGAATGCAAGGGCAGAAGATGGGGAGCACTGGTGCATAAACCTCAGCTCTGGGTCACCCAGTGACCAGTGGGGATGCCTACAAATTAAACAGGACTGGTGGAGCAGTGAGCCTTGCACAGGGCTTTTCACAGTTGCACAATGTCTCATTAAAAAGACCTACAGTTAATATTGTTAAAGTGCACATCATCTACAATAGAGAAACTGGATAGTACAATAGTAATAAATAAATAAGTAAATAGAAATTTAAAAAATGGTAAGAGGGAGTATTAAATGAACCTTTTTTCCTTCTCACTTCATCCCTGGAGAGTGTGCTAGGTTCCTTTTTAGCTATTTTCCTTTCAGGAGTAGAAATCCTGCCTCTCCCAGTTTTAAAAGGTTTCTCTTTTTTATGCTTATCGAGAGATGATCTTCGCAATTCTCTCTCTGCCTTCTCCTCTTTAGGAACAGTCTCTAACTGTTCAGTCATGATGCTCCTATCATCATCTGTAGGATCAGAGCAAATTATAACAACAAACAAAAGATTAGTAACAAATGTTAACAATACTGTGGTGGAGCAGGGAAAAATAGTTGAAGACAAAGCAGATGTATTAATA